GAGTTGTCACAAGTGAGCCATTTTTCACATTTCTAGATTCAGATGTCTGCTGTTTTTTAAACAGCACATAGGGTGAGCCTACTGATTTATGTTACTAGGTGGTTTTATTCATATATAGAATATCTATCAAAGGAGGACTGTTGGGTGTCTGTCCCTGTCGTCGTCCCCCTCGCCCCCGGCTTTGTAAAAAATGCTGATCATTTTCCAAGTTTCAGACGCAGAATGGTGTAGGCTATGGTCATTAAAATGAGGTAACCTGGCATACAACTAAAGCTATCAGTTCTCAAAATAATAAAGAACAGGACAGGTCTAAATACAGTCACAAACCTTTAAGACTCAATGACAGGAAGTCTGTCTGGTGAGTATTGTCTTCATGCTGTACACACACAAACATAACAGAACCATCGCCTCTTACTACGTCTGCTCAGACCAGAACTTGCTCATGCCTTCTTTTCCTCACTGCTAATAAAATGCCCTAGATCCCTCTACTTCAGCCACCAAGCAGTAGCATTCTTCCCATTGACCTACCCTGTTGGTAAGTCAGAACTGCAACAAAGGACACTGCAATTTTTGCAGGAATAACTCAGCATTGTGTTGCCCATCACCTTGCCCCTCTCCCTCAGGCCCTATCACCTTTCAAATCCACATTAGTCTGAATGGACCCAGTTTTTCCTTACGTTCTCAAGATTTATTTCTGACCTAACATCTAGAGGAAAGCATTTTGCCAATTCGCTGTGTGGCACATGAAGACATAACATACCGCTATCATTTGTACATAATCTATTAACTGAAGCATAGGATTATGAAGGTTGGTAAAAGGCATGCTCATATCACAGAATGGCTGAGGTGGGAAGGGTCCTCTGGAGACAGCCTAGTACAACCCCCTTCCTCAGAGTCAGCTACAGCAAGTTGCTTGGGACCACATCCAGTCAGGTTTTGAGCATCTCTAAGGACAGAGCATCCACCTCCTCTCTGGAAAACCTGTTCCAGTGTTTGACCATCCTCACAGGATAACAGCAGTTAACGGGAAATTTTAGAAAGACAATTAATACTTCACAGGTATATCATTTCCAAGGATGGGCAGCACTGCAGATTTCTGCTTTGGGCAGCTTGATAGTATTTACTCTGTACAGATTTCTAAATGTATTCATGTTATTGAACTGCTTGAGGGTGATAGTCCAAAAGATCACTCTGAACTCTGATGTAAACCCACCAGCCAGGTTGGTCGTTTAACTGACAAATCCCACATGCTCGATCCCACTTCACATACAGAAATCCCCTACACCTGACTGCATTTATAGCAAGGATTCTCCAAGGGCACAGACACCAGAGGCCTGTGTTTGGCTGGTCTCACCATTCAGAATCTCTCTTTTGGTCCTTGCTCAAAGAACACAGCATCTGAGGATGCTGCAGCCTGCTGACTACTAGGAAGGGATGGAACCTCATTTTTACCACCATGCTCTGTCTTGCTTGTTAAAAGAGCTTTCTCTGGAAGCTGCAGAACAGAGTGCGTCAGCACAGATCCAGGAACAGAGCTACAGAATCACTGTGACGGAATTAAGAGGAGGATAGGAAAATACTGTATAACAGACAACAAACACAGGGTATTTCATTAAAGGTATTAGTAAAAATGATTTTAAGACCATCACATTTTCATAACCCATACAAAAACATCACAGTTTGAGAGGTAGCTTGGATCATATACCAGTAAGAAAACTATCTGGAGACATCTGGTCATTTTTAATCCAGTATAAAAATTTAAGATTTCCTTAATAACAAAACATGGTTTCCAAATAAACATTTTTTCAGCTTTTAGGAAACACAAATATGTGCCTGAAAAATCCATATGAGATTTGATTAAAATGTCTGCTTGCTGGAGAAAAGAGACACATAAGAGGGAAACCCTATCCCCAGAACTTACCACAGGCAGCATCTTCATTAAGAGTCACAAAAGTACAGCTCCTAAACCAGAAAAACGTGAAGCCAAGCCAGAAGTCTGTGTTGCGCATAACTGGCAGGGTTTGGGTGGCAGGGGACTGGCTGCAGGGTCACCCCTGTGGTCCCAGACAGTTTGGTAGTGGATGGAAACAAGTCACCACGAGCCAACACTGCACCCATTCAGACACAGTTAAGAAAGGGCAGTAGCCACTGGGGGTAGGGGACACAGGACGAGGTGGGGGGGGACGCACAACAGGAGACATGAGAAGGAACACGCGGAAGTGGACACTACCGGGCACAGGGCTGGAAACACCTTTGTGGAAAGATGCCCTTCATGCCACCTCCCAGGGGACTGAAGCCCACAGAGAAGCCCACAACAGAGCAGCGGAAACAAGTAAGAAGGAACAGTGGCAGAAAAGAGAAATAAGCAGCAAGTGGCAAAAAAGAAACTGCCATGCACTGACCCCAGACTCCTGTGCTGCCTATCACCTCAAAGGGACCGAGCATAATCGGCGGTAAAAAGAAGGGGAGTGGAGACTAAGAAGGAGAGGGGAGATGTATCTAGAACATCTATCTAGAAGTTAAACCTGGGGAAGGCCAGGGAAAGGTGTTCGTTGAAACTGCTCATCTTCATTTCTCTACAAATGCCTAAATTCAAAGGATTCCCACTTGGGAAACAGGTTGCACAAGTTTTGGCAGTTTCTCAAAACCTTCTGCTTCTCCAGATTCTTAACCTTCCTCTACATTAATAGAGAGCCTTTAGAGTCATTTCACAATACATTTCATGAACGGCTTTCAATGCTCTCTCATCAACCTTCTACAGCTCTGCTAACTGAGCTCTGCCAGATCACCTTCTAACTACAGTTGTCTTACCAGCTCTTCAACATCACTACCAGCTGGGGCTAAAGACTGATCCAGTTTTGGAGCTCCACCCCTTCTGTACTGAAAGCAGCAAGCTCATTCCTCAGCCTTTCCATAGGAATCTCAACAGCTGTGCTAGTGTAACAAAGAGACCACACAGGAATGTCTCCTCCATGTCCCAGTGAGAAACAGGTTTCTCTCCATTTCACTTTACAATAAACTCCCACCTACACAGGCAGTGCACAAAGAGAAAGCAAAATCCTTCTATTCTGTGTGGTGTGGCAAAACCATAGTAGAGATTTACAAAGTAGGCTTCGCCATATATATTGTTACCACTGAAAGATGTGGAATTTCAACTTTTATGAACCTGTATTCACATGATCACTTAGAGACGGGGAACAAATTTGCTCATCTCTGTTTGCCACACACTTTAGGTGAACTTCGAGTTGTACGGCTTCTCTACGGCACAAGGCATAAGCAGTGCAGTCGGCAGAGATCCTGACAGCTGGCTAAAGCTTAGCATGATGCTACTGTGGCTTCCATTTGCCAGCAAAATACAATGGAGGCAAGTTTCAGGTTTTACTGCATGCCCAAAGTGGGCAAACATGGCAGTGCATGAAGCTACTGCAGACTCTTTCCATGGCTAATTTCCAGCACACAGCACAGGCAGTAACTAAAAGATGCTTGTTAGTTTCCCCTAGCAGATAGAAGGAAAAATGGGAGATGAACTTAGTGCAGCGGTGGTTGGATTTCCTTAATTTTAACTTTGTAAGTCTAACTGCAAATTCAGTGCATGACAGAATGTCACTCGCTAAATTTTATCTGCAGGGACAGTAGACTTTGGTACCATACTTTTCATATGTACATTTATACATACTTTTTGCATACTAATAGAAAAAACAAATAGTCTCTACCCCTCTCACCTCCACCCCCACGTTAATTTATGCTCATTTCAAGGTCTGCATGGTGAATACTTTTTAAAGCAAGTCTTCTGTTGTCAACCCTACTTGCAGAACCAGTACTCACTTTTCAACTTGCAACAGCACTTCATCTGATATGAAATATTCTTCCATATGCATGGAGACAAGTTCTAATCTTCTCTCACTTGTGCCAATACACTCCAGACCAACTTGGTCAATCATAAAAGTCACAGGCTATTTTGAGCACCTCTCATGGTCCCCACTTATCTCCAGGACAGTCTCCCTTTTTTTGATTGCTCCAAGCAGATCCCACAACAGGCCAAAGCCTGAAGCCCATGGTTGTGACCCTGCTTTTTGACCTCTTGTCCCTGTCAGGAGCCTGAACTCCACCACTTCATGGCCACATCCCTGAGCAATCCCTCCTTGCCTGAAAGGATGAGGGCCAGCAGAGCTTCTCTGCCTGTCAGCTCCACAATTACTTCTGCAAAGCAGTTACCATCAACACACTCCAGAAAACTCCTGCACTGCTTGTGCCCCCCCTCTCCTGCCTTCCCACTAGGTACTGGGGTGGCTTAAATTCCTCATGAGGATCAAGGGCCATGAATATGAGGCTCCTCCCAGTTGCCTAAAGGCTTCATCTACTTCTTCCTGACCAGGCAGTCTGGAAGAGACATGCACCCTGATTAGCTCATTGCCATCTCTAGGCGGAGCTCCTAGGCCTCCCCCTAGCACTTGCTGATAGGGTGCATCACCCTCCCTGATCATCAGCCGACTAGGGCAAAAGCCCAAAGCACCATTTGATCCAGAAGAGCTGACAGAGCTTGTGAGAAGCTGCTAGAGGCCCCAGCTGTTCTCTCCCAGCTGCCGCAACCACTCATGTTCCTCACAGCACTCCCACAGGCTCCCCAAGAATCCCAGAAGTCTTCAGAATATCTAGAAGATCTCAAAGCTGAGCCCAGAAACTGCAACACCTCTAGGCTGCAATGGCATCCAAGTTAGATTGTATATTGGGTCCTAAGACTGACTGTTCTCCACACATACTTTTGCCATTGCAGTCATTCCCTCCAAGAAGCTCAGCTGCCAGATTTCATGCACACTCTTATTTCTACGTATTCTTCTTCCCTACAGTAATGGCAATAAATTATCATTACTACAAGAGACAAGCAGTTGCTGGTTACAAAATCTAGTGGAATTTACAACAATCCAGCTAACATTGCTTAATTTCCTCTTCCTTCTAGCAGGGGTGTGTGTCAAACCCAGTAAATGTTGACTTTATAGCCTGTTTCAACTTTAACACTGACCCCACCCTGTTCTTAAGGAACCAGAGCCCCTTTAGTCCCAAGTGATCAAACCGGTTGGCATAAACAGTGAACAGGTGCATCTTTAAGCATCCAAATTAGGTTTTAAGTATCTAACTTCTTTTTCTTATTACCAGACTCAGTAAAAGGACTCTAAGAACAAAAACACTTTATCCACTTCATTCTGCTGTACATCACGATCAAAGCCCGCCACTATCCCTCCTTAGGTACCTTGCCTCTCTTGCATGTTTTAAAAGCATTGTAAAAGGTATTTACTCTGCACCATTCCATCTGTAACAGCACTATTACATCTGTAACACAAAACCCACATAACAGGCTTAATTTTACTGATGGAGGACCTTAAGTTTACTGGTCTTGACCTTTGGATACTAGAGGGTCCACTAGTATTGCTTAGCTAACTTCTGAGTTATCAAGGGTCAGAGGGGAAGAATACCGCAACACTCCTATCACACCAGGTCCAACCCCACTCCTCCGTACACTCCCAAGGAAACCTCACACTGTCCCAAATGGAGGTCTGCTCCTCATCATCTGATAGAAAAAGAGTCCTTTAGCAATTCATCTGCCTATTAAGACTATCCTCTCCCCTCCAACCTTTTTTACACTGTAATAGCACTGCAAGTGTTAGGGATACACTACAAAGCAATAACCTAATTTGATTTGAAAAACAAAACAATTTCAAAGTGGCCTCTCCATACTCTGCCTGCTTCCTGAGGGGTACACATACCTCTTTTTGCAAAGCATCATCAGGTTGTGCAAGAAGTTGAACAGCTGCTCTGTTTTCAGACGTTCTCCTGTGGAATGGTGCAATCTCTGGGAGAGAAGACCTTCTCTCTATGGAGCGTTCAGTAACAGAGCTCAATTCAGAGCTGTTTTTATTCAAAAGGCTTTCCACCTTCCCAGTCTCCCCTTTCTTCTCAGCAAAGTCTTCCTGGTTATCTCCACCATCATCCACTGAAGAGTTGAAACTGTTTTCACCTGCCACCATCGGGCCCCAGTCACCATAATCCGTGCTCTCCTTCTGCTCATGTTTGATGCTCACCTGAAAGGGGTCCTGCTCCAAAGTTTCATAATCATCAATGTATTCAGGTATCTCCTCAAGGCTGGGATCTTTGCCAAACACAGACAGCTCCTTCAGGCTACTCACTTCCTCAGACAGCTCATTCTTGAGTCCCACAGAGTCGACCATGCTTGGGATCACTTGCCCAAATTCTAGCAGCGAGACTGTCCTCTGAGAAGGCCTCAGCACAAAAGTAAGATAGGACTTGACGTTTTCCATTTTTTTAGGTTCACAGTTCTCTTTGTGTTGGCAGCTTATGATGTAACAGCGTTGTCCAAACATCCATGACAAGTCACAACCAGAGAGGTCACAACATGCTGCGATGCAGTCGGATACTGACATAGCATGAGGAACTCGCATCATTTTAGTTGTTCCTAAGTTGGGAGATATTACTGCACCTGAGTACGTGGCTCCCTCTTGGCAATGCTCACAACTGGAACCTGAAACAACACCACCAACATAAGGCACAACACTAAAACTAAGCCATAATATAGTTTATAGTGACCAAAAATGGGTTATCAGAGGAGACAAGACAAAGACAGGTAGCACTCTGCTTAAATAAACTCATTTCCTTTCACTAACATCACCACTACTTTTTCCAGCATGTGCCACTGCAGTAATATTTGTAACTTTGGAGGATTTTCCAGTGTAGGATCTTGGTATGTTTGCAGAGTACCGCTTACTCCCTTGCTACAAATACAAATAAATAAAAAGATTAGAGTTGCTAATACTTAAGAACAGAACAGGGAACATGAAAAAAATCATGGGGTACCACCACAGCCTAGCAAGCACAACACATTTTAAAACAAGGCTCAAATAAGATGCTGTAACGTGTCATTGTTTCATTAGAGGGAGAAGGCAGCAAAAATCTACACAGGAGAAACACCTGCCATCTCACTTCAACTTCATACTTCATGAAGAGTCCCTCAAACCAACATAACTGCTGGGCTCAACATAAAAGTGGGATTGAACTCTCAAACTTTTGCTGCTTTAACCGTTTAGTCCATGGGAAATCCCAAGAGCTTGCTCCAGAAGCATCTTTCCTTCCTTTGGAGTGAAGTTGTAATCTTTTAATATAACTTCAGAATTACTTTCATAGCACATCACAGACTAGGTGTGAAGTGTTTAAATCAAGCATGAATCAACATAGTGTATCTGTCAGTCAATTTTCAACAT